TTTTACACTGTAAAATGCAAAAAAATATTTTTGAACAATTTCCAAATGCGAGGAAAAAAACGTTTTTCCAGCATGTGCAACTTTTCTTTTGTTTTTTTTGTTTTTTTTGTTTTTTTTGCTTTTCTGGACTCCGGAGATTTTCCTGGAAAAGCTTTTTTAGATTTTTTTGCATTTTGAAAATGCATTTTTTTTCCCGGCGCATTTTCCAAGAACTTTTTTTTCGCATTTTTGGAGCATTTTTAATCTTTGCAGGAGTGACCTCTGCCATGCAGCCCCGCCATTCACAATCCTAGGTTCATCTAGACTCTAAAACGTTCGACCCAAATGACATCACCTAGGCAACTGGCACATTTTCTCATCATCTTCACTGGAACATTGCTGGCGACGCTGGCGTTGCCACGCTGACGCCGGGAGCTCGTTCCTGGGTTGCTGTTAAGGAACTTTAGTTTAAGTTACTATATCGGGAAAACCATATTATCTACTGTATATATACCCAGTATGGTAACTTAAATCCTAAACCCTAAATACCCCATATACCCTACATAGACCCATGATGGTAACTTAACTTAAGCTCCTTAACCCTAAACCCTATAAATCCCTATATATGATGATGATGATGATGATGCGGAAGTGCCAGGATGCCAAAGTCCTCGACACTAAGAACACTGAAGCACCTCAGCGGAGCTGAGCCTGAAATCGCAGCGCCGCCTCAGCAGAAGCTGAGATCACTGTAACCTCCCAACGTTTGGCCTGCAGCAGCCGTTCGCAGTAAGTGGCTCTAGGAGAGCCCTGCCATCGACGCCGAAGGCATCGTTTGGCAGCTCTGGAATTCCAGTGTCGCTGTGCATCAGGAGGAACACCATTGTGAGGTACCCAGCTGGGGCATCCAGGCAGCCAAGAGAACTCGATGAACATGCCGTTGGAAAATGCTCGCAGGAAGTGCTGGCGGATGCGTTCAGCCAGCAAGGGGAGGGCGCTGCACCATCCTCTGGAAGAAGCCAACGCAATCGGTCAAGGCAACAACCTTTCCCTTGTAGCCCTGCTCGGCCAAGTCGCAGAGGGCCCTCAACAGAAAATCGAGAGCAGAAAGCTCAGCCCGGTAACTAGACTGATCTTCACCTTCAAGTCCAAGAGAGTGCTCGGCATCGATGTCGGGCAGGAAGAGTGCGAAGGCCCCGACATTGTCCCTGCTGCTGCCATCAGTCGCCACGAAGACCGACGGCGTCCAGGACGGTCGGACCAGGAGGTTCACAAGGAAGAAGAACTGCAAAGAGGCGCTCCTCGCACCGATGGGCAGGTGGAGGGATCTCTGCACGAAGATCCTCTGTCGCAGGGCAGCGCCAAAGTAAAGCGCGGCCGACTGGGTGAAGGAAGTCCGCAGACAGTCGGGAATTCGTTGAGCGCGCCCCGCCGCAAGCTGTAGTAGTACCAGCAGGAGCCTCCACTGGCCAAAGACGCAAGCTGGTAAGGCCTCGAGGAAGACGCTCTCCAAACGGCTTTGTGTTCAGCTGCCAAAACCCGACTTTGAGGAAGGGGAGCAGGTAGGTCAAGTCCAACTGCCAGGTTTGGGTCGCGCCGGTGGTTGGGGGGGGGGAGGAACGACGACTCGCCCTGTTGTGGCCAGCTTCCTTCCTGTAAAGGTTCTGGAGCCATTCACGCATCGGTGACTCTCAAAGCCAAGCTGGAAAACTCGAAGTACACCTTGTTCATCATGTTGACGAAGTAGCCCGCCACAAGAAGAGCTGGTCCAGCCACAACGGGCCAGCAAGGCTGTAGCTTCAGGCAGCACTCTTTGCCAAGTGAGCACGCCTCCTCCAAGGGAACGTGGTCCATCCAGCTAGGACGCTTACACTGGAAGCGCTCGATCGCCAGGATCACAGACCAGTCCATGGCGAAGCGCGGGTGTGTCCACCAGTCAAAGACCTCGTGGAAGAGCAACTTGGGGGTCTCGAAGACAACATTCTTGCGGAAGACGCCGTAGATGCCATCGCGGATCTTGTTGAGCTCCGGGTCCGAGGGGGAAGCGAAGCCAGCAGCCCACTGGATCATTGAAAGGAACAATGACCTCACGTGCCGTAGGAGAAGTCGGGGTTGAAAGGTGACGCCCGCAATGTACTTGAAACGAACCTCAATCTTCGCCAGCGACGCCTCGGGAGGAGCGGATCCAAAGGATGGATTAGCCCAAGAGCTTCGAGCTCTTCGACGCGAGGAAACTCCAGGTCTCGGGCCAGGTCGTCAAGGTCGCGGAGCCCACTGCAGACTTGGCTTTGTCACTCGAGAAGCCAAAAGCCCTGTCAAAGCGTCTGCCACGGGCCGCGGCTGAAGCCATAACTTCCTTCCGTTGTTGCTTGTCCCTTGTCAAAGGCCGGCTGGTTCTGTCGTCCAAGAAGGCAAGACACTCGGTGTCTTTGTCAGCGACAACGGAAGTCCAGACATGCATCACGCTGGCCGCGACCAAGGCTGAGAGCGGGCAGCCCTGGAGGAGCCCTCTCCTCACTGAAGTCCAGGTGGTAGCCACAAATCCTCCATAAGAAAGGATGCGCGCTGAGTTGTTGTAGAACTCCTTTAACAGTGCAGCAACTTGAGGTGGAGCTCGCAAGTGAAGAAGTACCTGAACAGCATGCTCGATGGAGACGGTGTCAAAGAAGGTGGCGAGGTCCTCCTGGAGGAAGCAGTCCGCCCCAGACATGACGGCCGTGAAAAGTCTCCCATGTGCATCAGCTGGAGAACATCCAGGAAGTCCTCCCAAGTCACGCGCGCCCATCCAGGAGCGTGCCCAACAGCGTAGTGACCGGCAGATGCGCCGGCTGCCTGCTCTCCATGCCACAGAACACAAACAGATTGGCCTGTACGAGCCAGTTGGTTTCCTGGCCAGGGTAACTCTGCAGAGCTTCCAAGCGAAAGGCAAAGCGGCGCGCTGGTAGCAGAAGTCCCACAACTGTGAAAAGCGAACCCACCACACCTCCGGAAGCAGTAGCAAATCTTCAGGGCGCCAGTCGTCAGCGCCTCCTACCTTGCCTTGCGTTGCACGTGTAGCTCGCTTGAGGGCGGTAGTGGTCCAGGAAATCTCCACCTCCAAAGGTTGGGGTTGAGGAACCTCATGGAGAAGTTGAGAGACTTCCTCAACAGAACCACAGAGATGCACTGGATTCCAAACACGACACCATTTGACATGTTTCTCATAAAGAATGTTGGAGGGGTGAATAGCGTGGATTACCTCCTCCGCGGGCACAGCCGGTTGGGCCATCCTTTCCAAATCAGCGGCAGCTCGGGGCTTGATCCAAGAGGCCTGGGCCACCGGATCATCGTGTAGTCTTGCTTTCCAGTGAGCAATGGCTTCAAGCTTGGCTGTAGACGCAGTGGTGTCCACCACGGAGTTGATGACTTCAACATCTGAGTTGAGGTTGACAAGGTCAATGGAGGCCAGGTCCGGGAAGTCATTCGAGAGTGAACGAACATCACGTAGCACATTAGAAGCCAACTGCAGGTCGGCCCGGTGTGTGAAGAAGATGCCGAAGTCGCCGCTGGAGGCGTCGAAGTCGCCGAAGAGGAAGTGGCTCAGAAGCTGCTGCCGCCTTGTGTGAACCCCTTGGTCTAAGGGAAGGCTGCCACTGCAGATGCCGTGGGGCACCAACGCTCTCAAGGCACAATGCCTCCTCAGCAAAAGAGGAGAGTGCCGTCCACATGTCATCTGGGTTTCGATTGTCAAGGGCCTCAGCAAAAGCCAAAGAAAAGGCCTCAGCTTGGAAGCGTTCGGCTGCTTGTTCCGCATTACAAACAACACGGCGGCGACAGGGCCTTTGGAGGCCTTGTGGGGTGCTCCAGTCAGTGATGTTGTATCGAACCGCCAGGTGATCACCAACTCCCGAAGCATGGTCAACAGCTTGAGCAAAAGTTGTCGGCTACAGAGGCCATAGTCGAGACGGTTGGTTGAGTCGACCAGGACCAGTCTTGGCCAAAGCGTGCATGAAAGAATCATCCAAGCAATGAACTGCACCATTGGCTAAGAACTGAGCCACAGGAGGATCACATGCTTCATCTTGCCAATCACCTAAGAGGATGAAGGGGAAGCCATAGGCCATAGGCCACAATAGCAAGTAGAAGTTCGTCAAGGAGCTGAGCCGTAGCGATGCGATCGCCATTGAAACCATAAACTGAACACACAATGAGCTTCTGCACATGCTCACCATGTGTCAACTCCAAAATCGCCCCTGCCACTCTCGAGGGGCAGGAAACATGCAGGTTGAGAGCTTGGATGGGCGTAGTGCACAACAAAGCCGCTCGAGCTGGAATCTCGTTGGTCCCAGCCAAAACTGAAGAAAATCCATGACCTCGCCAAAAGCGTGAAAAGGACGCGCGAGATTCATAAGGAACATCCACTTCCTGAAGGGCAATCACCTCAGCGGGGAAGTCCATGAGGAAGCTGTGGATGGAGTTAGATTTGCAAAAACCTGCCTTGCCGGTGTTCATCGTGAGGAACATCATGATCACGAGGACAAAGCAGTTCCGTTGATAGCCTTAGCCGTATTGGCCCAAATCGTATCCGCCTCGGACTTGGAGAAGTCGGGGTCCTTGTCAAAGATGGGGCGGAGCTTCTTGAGCTTCGCAAGTCGAGCAGCTCGAAGGACATCCTGCCGACCTATATACCCCCCTATACCCCCTACATAACCCTTATATAATGTGGTAACTTGACTTAAGTTCCTTAACAGCAACCCTAAGTCCTCAACCCCTGTTTCGATTTCGTTTCCATTTTCTTTTCCATTTGTTTCTCCATTATTGGGGAGTAATGTCCCTGTATGTCCCCTAAAACCTAAACCCTAACCCTAAAACGCTCATCCCTAAACGCTTGATCCCTCAACCCTTAACCCTAAACCCTATTTCAGCTCCTTAGCAGCAACCCAGGTTCGGATGGCATCGTAGAGATGCCTTGATGTGAGCTGCGGCACCTCAGGGATGCCGATTATGAGCCCCGGGATGCCTAGGGTTTAGGGATTATAGTCCCCCTTAAGTAGATAGAATATGGCTTTGGGTATATTATAGTAAGATCCCCATATATCCCATATTCTATCTACTTGGGGGGGATTATAAGATTTTAGGGAGGCGGTTTTTGGGGTTAGGGTTTAGGGATGAGGGTTTTAGGGTTATGGTTTAGGGATTAGGGTTTAGGGTTTAGGGTTCAGGGTCTAGGGATCAGGGTTTAGGGATGAGGGTTCAGGGTGAAGGGTTAAGGGCTCGAGGATTGTTCATGTTCCTAGGCCAGGCGGTCAGGGCTTACGGCTTAGGATTGCCGCCTTAGGGATCTTTGATCTACGGGTTTCTCAAATGAGTAGTGTTTTTTTGGTGGTTGAACCTAGTAAGATTATTAAATAAAATACTATACCCAAAAGGAGGATATAATCTTACTCTGTATTGGGTACCATAGTATCCCCAAATGACATACTCCTCAAATGGCGGAACCCTGGAAACCCCAAGGATATAGATGCATGCACAAAGACCATGAGGGGGCAAGAACGGTCCTTGCCAAGAATGCGACCCTTAAACCACGAAACCCTGCTAAACCCTAACTCCTGAACTCCTAAACCCAAAAACCTGAACTGCCTGACCCTAAACCCTTAACCCAAAACCCTCAGCCAAGCACCACCGTAGACGGCCCGCAATTCAGTTCGGGATCGCAGCGCAGCTCGCCGACATCTTTGCGAACAGCCAGGAAATAGTAGCCTGGTATGGTTTGGGATTTCAGCTTTAGGATTGCTGGGCTGCCGTAAAGGAAGGTACGTATATGATATATATATATATAGTAATTACTACTGTATGGTTTCCCCGATACAGTAACTTGAGTTAAGTTCCTTAACAGCAACCCAGATTGAGGCCTTCCCATGTTGTAGATTCCTATCTGCAAACCGGGCTTTAGGGTGAGGAGCTTGGGGTTCGGGATGATGCTATCAAAAGTCTTTCCTAGGAATGCCCCAGAAAGTGCAGGAATCCATGTGCAGAGTTCCCGCATGCTCAGGGCCTAAACCCTAAACCTTAAACCCCAAACCTTAAACCCTAAACCCCAAACCCTAAACCCTTAACCCCAAACCCTAAACCCTAAACCCTAAACCCTAGGTTCCCTAAACCGCGAGAGGTGCGTATTGCCCGCAATTCAATGGCTGTTTCTCAGCATGGCCTAATCATATCCCTGCCACGGCCCAAGGCCCCCCCCATTTTAAGGGTTTAGGGTTTAGGGTTTATTAAGAAACTCCCCACAAACAAATCATGTGAGCTATAGTTGGGGGCATTCCCCTTTACAGTAACTGTTACCACCATGGTTTATAGGAGCTATAAGAACCCCCTTAAGAAGGCCCCTTTAAGGACAGTTACTGGGAGGGGGAATGACCCAAACTATAGTCTACACTGCCAGTATCCCCCTTAATAACTCCTACAATACTCCCCAAAAAAAAACTGCACAACACCCTTGAAAGAGTTTAGACCAAATTTCATCTGCTTGGTGATCCAGCAGCCCAAAGGAAAATTCTCGAGCCACGTCTTGGAAGCTACAGACCAGGAGAGAACGTTGTGCGTGGACAGCAGCCGGTCATCCATCCAGGCTTTCAGGTACTGCATGTTGTTCACCTTAGTAAGTTGCTTTGTGGCTTCCACCAAAAGGGGAATATTCTTAGTCTGCTGGGGTTTAGAACCCCAGTTGGATGCCTCTTGCCTTGGCGAGCTGCTTCTTCCGGAGCACCACTCAGGGTTTAGTCAGGGTTTTGGGCTTTAAGCTTTCAAGTGTACCCCACATGATACCCTGAAACGAAAACAGGGCTGCTTCAGGGTTTAGGGCTTAGGGTTTAGGGCTTAGGGTTTAGGGTTTAGGGTTTAGAGATTCTCTTTTGGAGCCTTCATGGTGGCAATGCCAGGGTCTATGGCACGCTTCAAAAGACCAACAACATTGTATGCGGGGCTTTCTGTCCGGTTGTTAAAAGGGAAACCCCATTTTCATGTGGGCAATGAAAATGGGTCCTGTACGATCTCCCATGGGGAACCCCAGGCTAGGCCTGTACTGAGAAACTCCCACATGAAACCCCTAACCCCCAAATATCAAATATTCGCCTAGGCTGGTCCAGGTTCTGGGGGGACATGCCCACCCATCCCCCTCCAATGGCGGCCCAGTCAAGCCCAACCGTGAACCATGAAATTGCAGGATGTCCATGGCTTGAGAGCTTGGGACTAATCAGGGGGTTGGATCAGCCCCCCGCCCCCGCCCCCCAACCCTCCCCCTCGACCGCCCCCATTTCTGGGTGCTCGAGGGTTTATAATTAAAGTATCCCACAACGGGAATCTGGGCATGAGAATCTAAATCCCGAAGCCCTAAACCCTAAACCCCAATAGAATCCAGAGAGTCACCCAATCGAAGCTCTCCCAGAAACTCAGGAGGATCACACCAAAGCCTTCAATGAGGGGGCGGATGCGCTTTCGAGAATCGGCATCTGCCTGTGTCAGGCAGGTGTATATAAACTGTAAAGGGTCTCAAGGGAAATAAGGACTATGTTTATGTAGGTATATTAAAGAGGATACATAGAGTTTGGGGGGTTAAGGTTTAGGGTTTACGGAGTTTGGTGCGAGGTTTTGTTTTGGATTTGTCTAGGACAACTACAGGGGTGGAGTAACCAATATAATCCCATGTATATATATATATACATATCCCCATCTCACCCCTTTGTTGCGCTCATACGCCCGTCATATTCCCATCACACTCCCATTACATAATCCCCCCCTTGTCACCCCCTCCCCGGAAGAAGCCCTGGAGTTTGCCCTATACAATTTGCATCCGCATGGGCTTGATGGTCTATTTGGAAGTTTAGGGTTCTGGGTTTAGAGTTTGTGGATGTTCTTGGGATGTTCAGTCATGGGGAAGCAAACGGAAAAAAAAATGACAAGTAAATGGAAAATTGGGTCATTACATAAGGGGTTAAGGTTAGGGGTGAAGAATTTTTGCTCGGAGGGTGAAGGGGACTTACGTAGTAAGTAGCTTAATAATGGGATGACTCATCGATACACTTACCACGACTCTTTGACCCTCCACGTAGCGTTTACAGGGGATATGTTTTGAGCTTTGGGTTTTCGGGGTTACCAGCTTGGGCTGTTGGCGCCGGATCCTCACATGACACTGTATAGGCTGACCCTAAACCCTAAACCTGATTCAGGTTGGAAGGATGGGGCTGTGAGGTGGTGCTTCAACGTGCGCCACCTTCCCTGCGATGATTTCACAAGAGCTTCATCCCTCTCGTGGTTTTTTCCCCCATTTCTCTTTTGGTGAGAATGTTGATGGGAGAAACCCTGCACTGCCCTATGTATAAATCAACATAGCATGCGGATCCGAGCCCGCAACAGTGTTGACCAAGCTCTCAAGCTTTACCAATCTAGGTCCTCCAAGAATCTAAGGTTGAAACCATGGGCCCTTAGTATGGGCCCTTAACCCTGGGATCCTTGTAGACCTACTACAAACCCTATATGTACCTTTAAGGGTCCCCAGAATCCCCCTAAAAAGGCCTAAGGGCCCATACTAGGGACCCATACTTCTACCCCTAGAAAGAAGCTGGGAAGATGATGCGAGGCTTAATCGAAGGCAGGCCAGTTCAGAACCTAGGACACAGGTCAACTCCTACTTGTCTTCCTTGTGCTCTCCACAAGGGTCAGAGTATGTTTTCTCAACCTAAACCCTGAACCCCACCATCAACTCTTTTTGAGGGGCCCCCTGAATCCAAAATCCACAGCCTGAAACTGCCCTAAACACTACGTAAGCCCACTTTAGATCTGCCTCTGTGAAGGAGTAGAAGGCGAAGAAAGCGCTCTCCCTAGCCTCACAGATGCTTTTCGAAGTTAATGTCAAGGGTCCAGGTTAATATGTTTAGGGGGTTTGGGGGGGGTAGGGCTTAGGGTTTAGGATTTAGGGTAAGTATATGGTATATAATTTGGGCATCTAAGACTACTTGGGTATAGGATGCCGTTACTGGCCTATTAAAACACTTTCAGAACCTGAAATCCAAGCCAGTTGGGGACTATTTGTTTGCCATGGGCTCTGTCTGAACACAGGTCGTGTTTTGCCATGCCCTCCCGTTGGGGGCAGGTCACCCCAAATCATAACACGGTTGAGGGTTCATGGTTCCTGCACCTTTCAAATATCAATAATCATTGTCTTACCCGAATAATGGGGGTCTGGGAAACGGTTATTATTGTGGGTATTTGGGAAGTCTGGGTAAATTCCAGACAAAGAAGCCCTCAACCACAAACCCCAACCCCAGCGCTCAACCCTTGCAGTTGCCTCAAGTTTTAGGGCGTAGGGTGTAAAATCTAAACCCCAAACCCTAAACCGGAAACCCTAAACCAAAAAAAAACTACAAGTACAGAAGCCCTAGATCTGAACCCTCAATCTACTCACACCGCAGACCCTAAACCCTGCAGCAAATCCCTAAGCCCTGAGCTAGGGTAAATTCCTGGGGACGACCACTCAGACAGGCCCCCTAAGCAAAACTCCGTCCTCAACCCTAAACCCTAACCCCTGAGTTCTACATATTAGCTTCCATGTTCTTTTGCATTATCCCTACATATCCCTCTATGTATATACATATCTTTCAGCCCTAAACCCTAAACCCTAAATCCCTAAACCCTAAATATCCTTTGGGTTCTGTGAAGGCCTGGTGCTATAGGAAGGTCCCTGGCAATCTACCTCATAAGCCCTAAGCCCCAAAGCCCAGGCCTAAACTAGGGTTTAGGGTTTAGGGTTTAGGCTAGGGTTTAGGGCTAAACCCTACACTCCAAACCCTAAGCCAAATTTTTTTCCATTGAACAATTATGGACCCCCTCTTTTCATGTCGCGTTCGATTTTCCTTTCCATTTGATCCTCCATTTATGAAATTGCCTAAGCTGGAGCCCAAAGCCTAAGCCACAAACAATTGACTCCATACCCTAAACCCTCTATACCCTAAACCCTCCACCCTACACCCTGAATCCTACACTGTCAACCCCAAACCCCATACCCTGAACCGTATACCCTAAAACCTGAACACATACCCCAAACCCTTAAATCCTAAACCCGAAGTCCTGAACCCTAAGCCCCTAATTCCTAAAGAGTAGCTTCTATTTTCTCATCCACTATCCCTATGTATCTATTTAAACATCCTTACATAACCCTAATTATAGCCTATGCGCCTGAACCCTAAAACCCTGAAACCTCAAATCTAAACCCCAAACCCTAAAGCGCGAAACCCCAAACCCTACACCCCAAATCCTAAACCCTAATCCAAAAAAAAAAACGAACCCCACACCCTAAACCCCAAACCCTAAACCCTAAACAGTAGTTTCCATTTTCTTTTCCATTATCCCTATAAAACCCCCATCGAATTGGGAGTCCCAGCACCTGACTGGCGTCCACATGTTTGAGAAAGCCGGAACCAAAGGACGACTCCAGTACAATGCCTGGGATTTTACAGGTTTAGGGTTTAGGGGATATGTGTGGCATATTGGGTTATATTCGGTTATATAGGGCTACATATTCGGAGGGTCAGGGGGAGTTAGTCATAATGGAGAAGAAAATGGAACCACTATATTATGCAGGGTTTAGGGTTTAGGGGGACTTAGTAAGTGGGTTAAGGATGGGACAAGTGGGGTTACTATATGGGTTTTAGGGGTTTATTAACCTACTAAGTCCCCCTGACCCTCCAAGTAAAAGTCCTCTGCAAACATTGTAAGCCCCCACCGCAACAAGGGGCACCCGAAACATCCCAATACTACAATGACTAGGGTTAGGGTTGTGGGGATTTAGGGCTTAGGGTTTATGGGTTAGGCCTGCCCCTGTAACTGTCTATCTTAGGGTAATACTAAGGGCTATATATGACTATATTATAAATATTATCCAACTGTTCAAGAGCGCAGCAGTTCCCAAACAATGCCTTAGGTTACGGCCTCCCCCGCATGAGGGTTAGGCTTTACAGCAAGGGTTAAGGAGTTGATAATGGAAAATAAAATTGAAGCTACCATAGCGTAATAGGTTATATTTTGGGGTTATATTGGGATAATTCGGGATAATGGAAAAGAAACTGGAAACTACTGTTTAGGCTTCATGGTTTAGGGTTTAGGACTTAGGGTTCAGGCCTAGGGGTTTACATTTTAGGCTTCAGGGGTTGAGGGTCTGGGCTTTAAGCTTCAGGGGTTTTGGCTTTATGGCTTAGGTTGTTATAATACCTGAACTTAAATTCTTCAATGGCAGCCGAGTTTCAGTTGCGGCGCTTCAGCGTTTGGGTTGTGATGTTTAGGGCTTAGAGTTTGTGCTGTAGGATCTGGGGTTGACGGTTTTGGGTTTAGGGCTTCAGGTTTAGGGCGGGGGTTTCGAGGTTTAGGGTTTAAGGTTTAGTTTGTTTTTTGTAGGGCTCTTTGCCGTCCGCACGTAACTTCCAGAATGCGACTAAGATTGAGGGTTTAGGGCTGAAGGTTTAGGGTTTGGCTCAGGGTTTGGGTTTACGGCTTGGAGTTTGCGGTCTTAGAAGCTGGGGTGAATTAGAAGCAAAGTCATGCACGCGCATGCAAGTTGTTGTAGAGGTAGGGCGTGGATTGAGGTTCTCGTGATTTCGGGTCCCCACAAAAAGGAACCCATTCACTGGCTTCTAAAATGCTGTGGTAGTACATACTTCTCGGGTCAGGGGGACTCAGGAAGTAGGCTAATAACCCCTATAACCCATATAGCAACCCTACTTGTCCCTATGATTAAACTACTTACTAAGTCTCCCTGACCCTCGAAGTAGGGGTGGGGCCAAGCTTGTAGTTCCTGGTCTAGGGTGGAGCGTGGCATGATCAAGGTTCCGAGCTCCGGGGAGAAGGTTTGAGATGTGGCTGCACTTTTCGGGAACTATTGCAAATAGCTTTGAAGAACTACAACCCTAAACCGTAAACCCTAAACCCTAAACCCTAAACCGTAAACCCTAAGCCCTAAACCCTATAAAGGGCTGGGGCACTCAAAATCCTTTGACTGCCTAAGCCCTAAATTTCTAGGATCAAGGTTCCGGCCCCTAAACCCCGCGGTGGATTCATGGGTTTAGGGTTTAGGGTTTAGGGTTTTTAAGGCTGAGTGCGCGCTTGCTGTTCTAGGAGAGAAACGACACATGAGCGAAGGATTCAGTAACTTTAGGTGAGATCAGTCTTCTGATTCGAGAATGGTAGACCCGAGGAACAGTTTATGACATTTAGACCAGAGTACAGTTGCGTCATAAATAGCCGCATAGTATCGACAATGATGAACTGCTTGCTAGAATGACCTAGTAGAGGCCCACACACTCCCTACCTTGATGATGTGACGCCAAACTCTTTGATACTACACACCATGATCCCAAAGCAAAGGTAGTCATACTCCCTAATGCCCAAAACCCCACACTGCTTCAACATTTAGATACTGCACAACAAACTGTATCACAATACACCATTTCTTCTTAGAATCTTGTAGTATAGCCTGTGTTCTACTGTGAGCCAACCTAGGCCCAACTAAACCATGAGATAATCCCTACCTTCAGTCACTCCCCCTTACAGTAACTGTCCTGAAAGGAATTTATTCCTCAGGGACCATTATGGCTCATGCTACCTACGGTGGTGACCATTGCCATAAGGGGGGAGTGACTTAAACTCTGCCCCTGTATTCCGGACCCCTCAACCCTGTCCCTGTTACGCTCAGGGCTGGAAGCCTGGCAATGGGTTTCGGCTTTAGGAAACCAAACCTCGAATCCCCACAACATGGATTTAGGTTGGGTTATTCCCCCTTACAGTAACAGTTGCCACAAGGGGCAATAGGAATCATAATAGCCCCTTAATAAGGTCCCCTTTAAGGACAGTTACTGGGNNGAGGGGGAATGACCCAAGATTTAGGTACTTTAATACACTCGGGTCATTAGAAAAGCTACTCCCAAAAAAGGGACCCCTAGTATTGCGAAACCCCCATATCCACAAATCCCAACAAAAGCCCTTCCCGAACGGATGCCCAAAATAGAAGACCCTAAACGCTAAACCTTAGGTGGACCCCCCACC